AACATGGGATAAATTAATATATTTTTCCGTACATGATTCGTTATCCGAAAAATAAGTTATCCGAACCACCCCAGTCCCCAATTGATTCGGATAAACGACGCTCTACTGTATGTACTTTATTTATTTATATATACATATATATAATTTGTTCAAAACTACAATAGTCAAAACAATAGTCAATAGTACAAAACTACAAATATCTAAAAATAGTCAATAGTACAAAACTACAAATATCTAACATGAACCAAACTTGACAAATGAATCCAGCTTATTCTTACAAAGAGTTTAGAAGTGAAAAAAATTTAGAAAGACAAAGGCAAAAAATGTTTTAATTAATGTTCTAAAACTTTTATGAAGAATAAAATTATGAATTGAAAGAAATTGGATGTTATTGGATGTTTACCAATATGGTAATATAACATATGGTAATACCAATATAACATTTGTGTATGGAATTGTTTAACTAGGCTGCCATACTGATGAGAAGAAACTGAAATGTATTTATGGCTAATTGTAAGAAAATGGTGTTGTAAAATAAAAATTAACAATCACCAAACATGCATCAACTTGCAGGTATTATTCCTGAGATTAATTGAAGATATACAATGGCATTCCAGTTTAAAAATAAACACATTTTATCAAAATGCAATGCTAATGTTAACACCGAAAAAAATTTTCTGGTAAAAGAAGGGTGATGATAATAGAAATGACATTATGTAAGAAATTGTTTACTATTAGGGGCAGTCAAATGAAAACAAGACAGACTATATAACAAGTTTGGCATGGAAGCTGGTAATGCAGGTAGGTGTGTATATAGAAGTGCCCTCTATAGGGAATCAGGAAGGAACAGTGTGAACATTCACCACTGTGCCATTTGTCTGTTAGACGTGCTCAAAGTGAGGTTGGCAAGTCGTGTGTGCGTCCACCATCACTATGGAGGTCTGCTGCTAGTTGACTTTTTGGAACACCACAATTAACACACAGCAGTACATAGAAACTTTACAAAAATTGAAGCATGTCATCAAATCCAAACACCCTGGAATGTTGACAGACAGCATCATTCTGTTGCAGGATAAATGCCCACCCACATGTTACCAAGATTATTTTGACTATGATGCAGAAGTTTCAGTGGAAACTTCTGCAGCGTAGTCCATACACATCCTCCATACAGTCCTAATTTCTCCCCATGCAATTTCCATATTTTTGGAGCCCCGAAGACATTCGTGGTCGTCAATTTGCTTCAGACGAAAAGGTGCACACCTGGGTACAATCGTGGTTCTGTAGGCACTGCAAACATTTTTCTATGAAGGCGTTGACCATCTTGTCCCACAGTGGGATAAATGTATTAACAGTTATGGCAATTACTTTTGAAATAATAAACCGTTTACTTACTTTTTTCCCATGTGTCTCATTTTCATTTGGCTGCTTCTAATATTTCACCCATTTATTCATTCTATGATTATTTATTTTCGTGTATATATAATATCATAATATACATTAAGTCCTCACTTAACATCATTGAAAGGTTCTTGGATACTGCAATGTTCAGTGAAATGACATAACAAAATAAATTTTACCAGACTAATTGATGAAACAAAAATATAATTTAGTTAATTAATATGATTCTTATTGAATTGTGTTTGCAACCTCCAACACTTTTTCCCCCTTCACAAAATCAATTTTACTATTTATAAAGAAAATTCAACAATGATAATTGTAAATTATTACAAAATGTATCTTTCCTCAACATCATAATGATGTTAAGCAAGGACTTGCTATATTTGATGGCTACTCTCTATAACAAAATATATTCCAATTAAACTTAATAAAATTAACAACAGAAAGAACAATTAGAAGTTAGCTAAAGAAAATATTAAAATTCTGAGCTCTAACATTAGTCTACAAGAAAAGATCTATTGTGAGTTAATGCATTTTTATCATTTTTAGAACTATTTCATTGATTTCTAAATTTACTAAATTTTTAAAAATTTTTGTTTGAAGTATCATATTAAATAGCTTCAATAAAATTGCTTCTGTTATTTGGATTTGTATAAGAAATAAATCTTTTATTAGGAAACAAAGCAATTCATTATAAAACTTAGAAAAATTTTAAAGTAATGGTTTTAATATGATTTTTACAATCATACTCTAGATGCACTTTTAAAATGGATAAGTAATGTTTTCAAAAACTTTCTTAAATTGAAAATCTCCTGCAAGAAAAGACTGCAGCAACCTTATATTTGAGTCATCTTTCTAGTTGTCAAATTACAAACAGAAAACTGACTTTTGTAATAATATAGTTTCATTTTGGAATCTAAGTGTATATTTTTAACTTGTTTCTGATTGTTTTTCTTTCAAATAAATTAAGGTTTGTGGGAAGTTATAATTTTACAAATTGTTGATGGACATCAATGATATTGACTATTTTAGACAAATTACAGTTGTTGACAAATTATTTTCCAAGAATACTAAAAAAAAAACAATTATTTTATTCTTACAAAAAACTTGAGTAGGAACTAATTTTTTGTATATTTTTCACCAAAATCAATCATCATATATCAAATATCAATGATAAAAAGATTGGCACTTTTTGATCAATCAACCTGAAAAAAAGCAAGACTGATAAGGGGATAAGGTAAATAAACCATAATAATTGATATTTTATTCAGTTTATTCATTTTCTTCTAATTAAATATCCAATATTTTTAACAGCTATTTTAGCAGTTGGTTTAATATTTTAGTTNTCCAAACATAAAAATCTTTTGCAAAAGTGTTCGTTGTCTGATTTGTTCATAGTCCAAACTGTTCATTAACCGATCACCCACTATACTTCCTTATGAATTCTGGAAATTTATTCCTAAACAAATTCCTGAAATTCACAGTAAAGTGCTAATATTTGTGCATTACTAAGCAAAAATTGCATTTGTAACCTTCTGCAATAACATCTTACTGTTTTCTCTTTGTAAAATTTGTTATTTATTTTAGAAAGATGAGTGCTAAAATGAAACAACTGATGATAAATATTACTGATAAATTAGAATGCATTATTTTATTGTAATATTTTCTTAACAAGTTGAGAGACATCCACTATAAGACAGGAATCTATGCTATGCTGCATAATACACTCACTGGAAAAAGTTACACACCTGGATAGAATTGTCCAATTACTGCAAAACACAGCATAAAGCTAGGTCTCAAACAGGCATGTAAATTATCATGGTTTTTGTCCAATTGCACACCAGGTACCTTAATCTAAATGCCTACTAAAGTATCTTAAAATCACTATCTCAGTATCCTATAAAAAAGCTCATTGTATCTCATTGTTTTCACAATTTTCTGTGTACCTGTTGTTTGGATATCTTTGAATGTTAGGCATGCTTATATGACCCAGTAAAAGACATTACATATAGCTGATGGGGTTTGAAAACGATTGCATCATTGGCTGAGGGAAGCAGGGTAACTTTTTTCAAATTGACCATATCTGGGTTCTGATTTGACTGTAAAAAATGTTGGAGGCAATAACTATGTGAGGGTACATACACACATTGGGCAAGACCAACAGGAGAGATGTCCTGTTGGTCTTGCCCAATGTGTATATGTGCCCTCAGCTCATCCACAGCTATGGACAATCAGAACAATCAAAATTAAAATGAACTGTAGAAATGAACAGTCACAATAGCATCTTTGTCCACTATCCAGAGATAGAGGCAAACCTCATTACTAAATTCTGTCTATTCCTGTACCACTTGTAGGAGACTAGAAAGGTAAATTTGCATTCGTGATAACTGCTACACATCTTGACATTAGCACTCCAACATTGACTTCATTTGCAATGGTGCTGTGATAAAGATAAACTGCTACAGACTGGCAATATATCATCATAAGTGATGAAACAAATGAGCACCTTGTTAAGAGCATGGAAAACCTCTAGTGATGGCTTCAATCCCACCTTTACTACTGACATGCTGATCTGGGAAGCAATCTTATATATTAATAGTATGAGGATCATTGATGACACAGCAGTCAAGAAAGCCTAGCCCTCATAAATTGCCCTTCATGGCAGGACTGTAAACAGCCATTTTCAAGCAAGATAATGTGCAAATGCAAACAGCTAGGGCAGTGTTTCTCAACCCGTAACGAACCATCGCCCCCTTCACTTCAAAATTCCAAGGCCGAGGACCAAGGCTAATGCCAAATTCGTACTGCATTGAATAGACTAGTGACTAGTATAATGTTATTTGTTTAATTATTGTACAATATAACGAATAAAATATCTAATTATTCTTAATACAATGTTTTACTATATTGTCCAGAAAATTGTTTTTTGCCCCCCAAAATATAAATTGTCACTAATCGTCCCCTCAACATGGAAAATCGCCCACATGGGGGCGATATCGGCCCCGTTGAGAAACACTGAGCTAGGGTTTTCCAGGAATGACTCCATTACATTGCTGTACTTTCATGGCCTGCTTAGGCATCAGAAGTTTACCAATCAAGAATTTGTGGAAACAGATGGGATGTTTGAGAAATCTAGAGAAAAGTTGCAACATCTATATGCAAATCTCCTCATACTGACATATGATTCCTTTATGGCTGATCATATTACTACACAATCAGGCAAGGAGAGATCATAAAATGTCTAAAGGTTTCTTTAAATTGTAGCATTGTTTTACAGGAAATTGTCTCTTTGCCATAATATTTTAATCACTTATTACAGTCATCATGTTCACATTAATAAAGTTTCATCATATTCCAATACTTCTTTCTTGAAGCAAAACTTTTTTGTCAATGAATGTATAAAAGTGCCATATTATCTAAGCAAACTTGTCTTATATTATTATATAGTAAATAAATTTATCACCACATTATTATTTTTGTAGTTAAAATAAAAATAATCTGATAAAGTGTTTCATAATGGAAATCAAATTAGCTCTTATTCAAATTCAGATATAATAAAGAAAACATTGAATAAGATTCATTACACACTGCAATATACTTACCTCTTTAGGAAATTTTAATGGTGATTTTGATGTACAAGACTCATCTGGTAATGAATAATTAATGGGATCAATACCAGATAAAAATGAACTATTTGCTTGATTTTGATTTTCATATTCCTTAATTAAGCTATCAAATCTGTCTTCATCTGTCATCATGGGTATATTTTCTGAACTATTTTCATCCTTATCCTCATTATCATCTCTAATAAAATCATTTGTCAGAAGAGGCATATCTAATCTTAATTTCTTTAAATAAACCTGTAAATACAATCTTTATTATACAAAGCAAATATTTTAAATAAATAATTTTATTTTAATTTAACTTTTATATTACAGTAGAGCGTCAATTATCCAAATGTTGATCAACCAAAACATTGGTTAACTGAAAGCGTTCCAGTAGGACTGTGTGGTGCTGAATCAAACATTTCTGATACTAGAT